AGCATTTGGATGCTCCCCCACTTCCAACCAAAGCTGAGTGCTGAAGGTCTGCGCTGAGCATTACTTATGGATTTGCTCATAAATATTTATCACTGCAGGGAAATTCCCATCTCGAAGCTGCGTGTTTCCTCTGGGCTGGCAGGGTGGGAGCACAGTTTGCTTCATTTCGGAATGGGATGCCTTGGCCTGGGAAGAGGTATCCAGGCTGCTTTTTGGGGAGCAGGGAGCCTGCTCAGCGGGCTGGCAGCTCGTGGTGGGGCGAATGATGGCACGAATCCGTCTCCTGTGATTCTGTATGCCTCAAGCGTGGCATTAATCGGCAGCCCGCTTAGCCCGGCTCGTAATTAAATCCTATTGATTAGCTAAATGTCACTGGCATGGAGAGCAGCTGGCAGCGGCTGGGATGCAGTGGGGCCATCGGTCTCTGTAGGATTGCAGCAGGGATTTTGGGACTGGGAGGAGGAAGGGAAAAGATGAAACTCAGTCTTGACTCCACCGCCCGTGCCGTAGTGCACAGCACTGTAAATTGGTCCCAGCACAAGGACTGGTTGAGCTGGGGCTGCACTGGCTGAAGGCAATGGGAGACTCTGGCCCATGTGTGAGCCCTGTGGTCCTCCTCTGCCTCTTGGCTCCCTTGGAGCAGCTTTAGGCTGGGGGTCCCTACGTGCAGGGGAAGCAGCAGCGCTGGTCACCCTATGGGTCCCTGGGAGGGGTGGGCTCCCATGGGAGCAGCTTTACCAGGCAGAGCCACGGGGCTGCTCTCGTTAAAGTCAGCCCTGTGCCAAACTTGTATCGAGTGACATGGGAGGGAGGCAGACGTGACATTTTCCAGGCTCCCATCACTCCATCTTCCATAGCGCATCTATTAAAAAAGCCTTTAATAGCCTCTTCACAAGGTAATTTAATTGAACTGAATTGATGGGTGAATTACAGAGCTGCCTGTCTTTCTCCATCCATTTTCAGGGGAATTTGCTTGCTTGCTTCTGATTTCATTTGCCGCGCAGCATCGGGCAGGTGGGCACCTCTGCCGCGGGAGGCTGCAGGGAGCCTTTGCTCTGCTCAGCTGTGGGCAGCTTGTGTGCCCGGCCAGTCGGATCCCGGCCAGAGCCTGGGGACCAGCCCAGCCCCTTGCTGCCCTTTCTGCCCATGGAGCCACAGCCGATACCACCACCATCCTCCTGTCCTCCATATCTGCTGCCTTCCTCTTTCGCTGGGCCAGGGATGTCACCTGAGAGATGCTGCGGTTAAAGCAGAGCCGTTCAGCCTCCATTCACTGCTGATATTTTTATCCTTTTGGCTCTGCTTTAGACGCAAAATCCTCTTTGCTGGGCACCATTTGGTCTCCCTTGCCCTGGGGCAGCGCGCTCGTGTCCGAAGCGGAGCCCTCACCAAGGTCAGGAGCTGCTTGGACCCTCGACCGAGTTGTGTAAATGAGAGAGAGGTGGGATGGGGACATCCCAAGGGGCTGCCTGGGTGCCATGCACGAAGCAGGGTGTGTTATTTCATACATGTGAAGTATGGAAGCAATTTATCCCCGCATTTCCCTCTTCAATAATTACATTTTCATTGCGCGCAGCATTTCCATCGGCAACTGATCCGAATGTTTTTTCCTGCCAGGTGGATCCCTGGCAGCTGCACACTCATTAATCCCGGGCACCGAATACTCTGCTCATCACACAAAGGGCGTGAAGAGTCTTTAGCATCACCCAGCCTGGTTTCCATGGCTGGGTTGGAGCTGGGGTTGGATGGGTACCTCTGCAGAGAAACCCTCCTCTAATCCAGGCAGAAGTTTGCCTTCAGACAGCCTAGAAATAACTCGTGCAAGGATCCCACAGCAAGGCTGGAAATAATCCAAGTACTTTCCTGGTGCAGCCATTATCATTTCTGCTAAAGATCAGTGAAAATTAGGCTCCATTTTTCATGCTCCAGTGTTGCTTCCTTACCCCGTGGAGTTTGTTTCCGTGCGAACTGTGCAGTTATGGCTTTGGGCTGGGTCTGTGCTTCACCTTTGGATCGTTTTCAGCCCACTGGTTGTTTAGAAGAGGAGCAGGTTTGTCTTCTCCCTCTGCCCGTAGCGGGATCAACTCCAGAGCATCGCTATAACAAAAAGGGTCCACGTCAGCCTTGAAGAGCTGTAAGAGTCTCATAGAAAATCCATCAGGAATGGCCGCAGCGAGTGTTTCGTTGCGTTTGTGCTCCAGTACCTTCAGATTTCCCTGCAGACACCGTGGCAGTCGGCCGGCGACAGCCTCCCGCTGGCCTCAAAGCTGTTCTTCCTTCAGCTGTGCCTTAATAACGAGGAGTAGGTAGGTGCTATCACACCCTCTGGGAGCGCGTAAAAGTAACACAACAGCAGAGGTGTGTGTTTGCTCATAAGCAATTATTAAATGACAAAACCCTGTAATTTTAAACCTTGAAAATCACCGTGCTGATTTACTTAACCCCCAAATTAATTGTGATCAGGGTGTCAGAGTCAGCCGCTGGA